AGACAGGAATCATACTTTGGCTGGCAGTGGGAGGATTTCTTCTGATTGCATGGGTTGTTCTAATGAGATTGTTTAAAAACAGTAAGCATGCAAAATCCTCCTTCCGTCCTTAAATTATGAGATGTGCAGGGTCGACCAGAGGAGAAAAGATAGAGTTTAAGGTCCTTGCCTCGCTTGCTGAAACTGGTTGGTGCTGCGTGGAAAAGACAGCGAGGTGCAGAAGTGGAAAATAGTCTAAGGCACCTGAATGCTGCTCCAGAAACTCTTCCATTTTATGGTAGGTCAGAGTTTTTCTGGGTAATTCTGCATTTAAGACCTTGAGCCTTAACGTGCAGAAACACTGAGCGTGCCCAGCTGCTGCTGTGTTCAAAGGAAATCCGGCTTTAATGCTGAACAATCGATAACTGGGTAAAATGTCTGGGGTATTGTAAACTGCAGAGTCAGTGTTGTGCGAGTTTGGTAAGAGGGACAGTGAGAATAAGATTGTGGCTTTTTGAGCTCTTGGGGAGGTGGGCTCTCAGCTACCCCGGCCTTATCTCCCCTCTTCTCTTTAGCCTCTTTGGTCGTCATCTGCTCCTGGCTTCTTGTTTCAGTTCAGGTTTTTTTGCCTATTGCCAGATCAGTTTGTTCCTCAGGCTTGGCTTATTTCTCCAGTACTCCGTGCCTCTGCTACAGGCCCAGGCAAGTGAAGAATCCCTTTTTGGGTTCTTCTGGCTCTTCTGCCACCTCGAGGTTTTGGGCGCTTTTTTTGTTAGTTGATGTTTTTGGGGTGGTTTTCCCTCTCTTGGTGTTTGTGGGGCAGTGATCTCAAGGTTTTCTTCAAATGGCAACACTTGACAGGAGAGGAGGTTGCAAGAAAACTGTAACAAAAGGAATAGATGGAGGTAAGGAAGAACAATTTCTTTGTTCTCGACAAATGTGTGTAGGAGGCAACTTCTCTGATGGAGTCCCAGACTCCATCCGGTTCCAGACTTACTGACCTCCTCCGTTCTTGTCAGCTACGAATTAACTGTAGCTGGTGGTAGTTTTGTGCCTTGTTCTTTGAGCTCTGGGTTCCTCAGCTGCTGCTCTCTGTCCTGCAGCGTGAAGCCTCACTTCCGATCATCCAACAGCTCGGAACACTCTGTGGAGGGTCCAGCTGCCGTCAGTACCGTGCCAATAGGGGATGGACCACTGAACAGAACCAACTCAAGGAATTTTGTTACGGAGCGACATAACAGCACGTTAACCGGGCCCCAAGACCAAGGGTATTCCCAGAAGGACTCTCCTACCGCACAGATGGAGCAGAACGGCGACTACGGCATTGGCAGGGGCAGGTAAAGAGCTGCGTGTGCTGCCTCTCGCTGTCACCCAGCAGTGCCGCGGGGACGGGGTGGGGGGGGTTCAAATGACTTGGGTGGGCCCGGGATCGTCCACCATCCACACAGTGTATTTTTCTGTAAAGGCTGATGAGGAGCAAACTGACATTAGATAAACCAGGCCTGATAAATACTTAGCTGGGAGCCTGAATGCTCCCTGCTTGACTGGACAGCTGTTAGTGATTCTGACAAACACCTTGCGCTAAGGTAGTGAGGTGTCTTTATTTCAAAATAACTGCGTCATTTGTCCCCAGAATTAAAAGAGTTGCTGAAGTAAAGCTGGTGTTTGTATTGCTGTAAATAATAAGCAAATCCTCGGGGAATTTGATGCTCCTAAATATTGTAAGATCAACTGGTTTTATCTTTTGTGTGCTAATTCAGGAGTTAGACACTTAAAAATACATGGCCAAGACAGATACGTGAGAAATCAGATGAATAAGTTTATCACAATAAAGTTACAGGATACTGTTCTATAATACTGTAGTCTAATTGTCACTGTGCTTGCTCAGACACAATGCTCCTAGGGAGAGAAAAGAGAAATTGTTTCCCGTATTGACTGTTCCAAGAGTGTAAGAGCTTTGACCCCTCCTGAAGGTCGAGAACATCCCAGAACTGTATCTTGAGAAACACCAGTCGGCTGCTGTAAATGCCCTGCCGCAGGCTCCCCTTTGGGTGGAGGAGTGCGCCCTTCAGCTGCACCCGTGCACTTACTGCCTTTTTTTTGCCTTTAAAGGAGGAACGTTTTCCGAGGTCGGAGGAGACGGGAAGATGACCGGGTTTCAGTAAGTGCCACTTCCCTTATCGCGAGGGGTTGCACAAAGTGCAGCGTGTTGGTTTGCGTTTGTTGAAGGAGTGGGCCAGTCCTTAGATCCTCAGGTTCCAGTGCGGGGATTCGGTGTTTCTAGGAAATTCCCTGACACTTGCTCAGTGCTTTGGATGCTGGGTGTTCTGCCTCTGTTAACGGGTATTTTCCTTCGCTAGAGACCTCAACCTTCAGCAGAAACAAAGACTCAGACACCAAAGTTTGACTTGCTAGCATCAAATTTCCCACCTTTGCCTGGCAGCACAGCAAAAATACTGGGAGAGCCTGTGCTGGAGAGCAGGATGTCCGATATCGTTAAAGGCGTCTGCAAAGAAAAGGTACCCGCTCGTGTCTCTGGCACGGACGCGGCGCCGCGGCTGCCGCCTCCCCTGCTTAAAGAACCGGTTTGCGTTGGAGCTGCACACGAGAATGCTTTAAGCCCGAACGTCTTAACCGTGTGCATTAATACGATAGTGCATGTTCTGTCTTCGGGTTCCTGGATTGCCTTGGCTCTTTGTGGGTATTTAGCTGAAGCTTCTGTAATTGCACTGCTGTGAGCTCAGTGCTGTTTTGGAATAAAGCGGGTGAAGGAGGAGTGTTGGCTGTTGAAGTGGGAGCAGGTTGTGGGCAGGGCAGGGCTGGTTCCAGACGAGTCTGTTATTTGAGCTGGTGGGACTAAGCGTGGATAATCTGGGTGACAGAGCGTTACTGCTCGTCCTGTCCGCGGCTTGCTCTGCCCACACAAGGGGTGGTCGCTCTAGAGGCGCCGCTCCAAGAGAAGTGCTATAACCAGGGCTTGAGCAGCCCTCGGCAATACCCCGCTGCTCAGCTGTCTTGAACTGGCACGCTGAGGAGCCGTGTAAGCGCGTCTGTGATCTCTCCGTGTTTTGCAACTTACGCTTTCTGTACAGGACAGCAAAGATTTGCTGCCCAGCTCTCCGGCTCCTGCTCAGGAAGAACAGACGCACAGCACTGTCCAACCGCCTGCGGCGAGTGTGAGTTCACCCGCTCAGACCGAGGCTGCGGTGTTGAGGTATGCAGATTGAGTCGAGAATGTTAAAATTTGCATGTTCTAGCTGGTGTCCACCGAGGCGGTGGTGATGTTTGTTGTTTCTTCTCAGTCTGTGGTGGGCAGCTTCTCTAGAGGCCACCACATGGAAATAACAAATCGCGGTGGTAATGGCTGTACCGATCTGTTCCAAAAAACCACATTTTGACCTCAAAGAAAGAAGATACTTTCTCAAACGTTAATTTCTGTGTTAGTAGGTTTTAATGTTAAATTGTTCTTGATTTAGCAGCACAGTTCAGCCAGACAGCAAACCGGAAGAAGTGTCTGCCCAGAAGGATGTCACAAGCCACGCTTCCCCGCCGGTGTCTGTGTCTCCTGTCAGTGCTGCAAAGCCGCCAAGGACAAACACCGCTTCACCTTCCGCTAATGCGAGCGCAGCTCCTGCTGTGCTGGTGCAGGTAAGGCCCAGAGCAGGGAGCGGGCGGGGAGCTTTGTCCTGGATGTGCTGAGGTGGCGCCTGGGACCGCCTCTTGCACGATGTGCCGCGGCTGCGGTGGCATCGCTCGCTGCGTGGGCTCTTGCTGCCGTGCCTCGACACGGTGCCTGGGATGGTCTGGAAGAGCGCGGCGTGGTTGTTCTGGGGTGTAAACCTTGCTCTTCCCTTGGTCCCAAAGGAGCCACGCAAGCTAAGCTACGCCGAAGTTTGCCAGAAGCCCCCAAAGGAGCCTCCTCCAGTTCCTGTTCAGCCTCTTAGGGAACATCGCACCAACATAGTTCCCCCTGCCAAAAATGAAGAAAACGGTACCCCCGAGAAGGCTCCGGAGAAGGCTCCTGACAAGGTCGAAGGTCGAATGAAGGATTATTCTGGGTTCCGAGGCAACGGGCCTCCCAGGGGAGCTGCTGGGAAAATCAGGGAACAGAGGCGCCAGTTTGGACGCAGATCATCGCCTCAGGGAGCACCGCGACGCGTCGGCAAGGAGCAGTACGTGCCACCCCGGTCACCAAAGTAACACTTATCCAGCCAATTATTCTCTATTTAATTTGAGCTGTGGACTAATAAGCAGCAAAGGAGACTGTGAGAAAGAAGTATTCGTGAAGGGGAATACTGAACTGGAGCGTGGCTTGTGTGGAGAAGTTGTGAAGGGTCCCAAAATTCATCTCTAAAAGTGATTTCACAAATGCTGGAGGATTCCAATCAATATAAATATAGAGATTATAATTTTTGTATTTTTGTTTTTAATTTGCAGAGAGTTTCCTGCTTGAAATCAGTTTTGGGGTTGTGAAACTAGCGTTTTGACAAAGTGAAAGAATATGAATTGACAAATTAACCTGTCCCTCGGTGTAGGAGGAAAAGGATAAGAGAATATTATTTTTGAAAAAACGAGCGTTTCTGTAAAATTAGAACTTTTTTTAACCTATTTAACATTTGGCTTGTCGGGTGATGTGTCTGCCATTGATGGCCTTGCATTGCAGAGCACGTCTGCAGCTGAGGTGCTTGGTCAGTGTGAGTGGAATGAGTGCGGCCAGATACTGTTGTCATGACTTAGTCACTGATGATAAAAACTGAATGTACTACTGTAGTAAACTTTGTGTTTCCAGCTTGAAGTATAGTCTCTTGACCTTACTAATAATTCATTCAGCAAGCTTTTTAAACTATAATTTTTACAGGATACTGGATTGTAGATCAGAGCACATGGACAGCAAAAATTGTCTTCTAGACGTGATTGGGAGGAGGCAGAAGGGAGCATGTTGGAATTTTTCATTTGCCCTTTTTTCTCGCCTCCTTTTGAGGGCAACTTAGGTTTGAGTTTGGTTGGTTGTTTTTTTTTCCTTGCTTGTTACTTTCTCTGATCTCTTTATTACAGACTTCTGTGCATTTATCTTGGTATGTTTTCCTGAGGCAGGCCCAGTGTAGGACTGATGGGTACTTGATGTTGACTTCACCAGTAAAGAGCCCGGAATTCCAGTTGCAGGTGTGGAATTCTGCCTTGCAGATGGGAGCTGTGGGCACAGCGTTCTGCGTGCCCCACCGGGGTTAAACCGATGTCTCTTGGGATGGCTGGCAAGTCAGAGATGTGGCTGGGTTTTCTGTACACTGACCTGCCTTTGTGTTCTGGAGTAGGGTGTTGGGTGCTGTGTACTAGAAACCAGGGTTTAGTGTACTGGGAACTCGCTGTTTACAGCTGATGTAGTAGCAACTGGCTTTTTTTAGCTGTTTAAAGTGGAACGGAGGGTAAGGCGTGAAAACCCCTCACGTTCGGGGAAGCTACTCGAGAGGTGGCATCTTGCCTGGCCGTACGCTGGCTCGATCCGCAACACTATGGCCTAGCAGGGGGTTGAGTTAAATTACCATAATGACCGAAATGGGAAAATTCAGTGCGTTAATCTGCCAAAATCAGCATGCCAGGGTTCAAAGTTCTGTATAAAGTGTTAGGGAAAAGTAGCTTCCAGCAGTAAGAATCACACCTTTATTTTTTCTTTTTTTTTTTTTTTTTTTAGTGAATAGCAAGTGTACAAATTTAAAGTCGTGAGTTGTGAACACTGGAAAACTCAGTTGTGATATATACCGTAAACATCTTAGTAATATATGCTAGTGTTGCCATTAGAATGAATGTAAGTGGCAGTTAAAATAACTGTGAAAATTTTCATCTTCTGATTTCTTAGCCAGATAACCCTTGGCGACTTCTGACTCGGTAGGCATTCTCTATCAACTGCTTTGAGAACACTCATATCTATTTTTATAAATATATATATAAAGCCAGAGTTGTCATTTCTCTAACTTATTATTCAGCTTGGCGATTGCTTTGATTTGATTCATAACACAAGATAATGTATTTATGCAGTTAACTGTTCATTTCTACGCATGTTATATATATATACATATATATATAAAAAACACCAAAATCGTTATTCACTTTTAAACTACCTGTACTGGGTTTGGGAGGGCTTTTTTTTTTTTTAAATTTAGTAAAAAAAAAAAAACGTTGATCACATCTACAGTTTAGGGATGCTTACAGACCCCTTCTCCCTGTATTTCGGTAATGCTACATTCGTTGGGATGATAGAGAAGTTGGCAAGTTTTTAAAGGTCTGAGATGCGATTAATGCAAAGTGAATTTTTAGTCGTTTCAGTGGCTCTGAACAGTTACTGCTGTCAAACTGGACAGAACTCACCTGCAT